ATAGTAGATTTGATCAATAAAATAGAAAGTTGATTCTTAGGGAAAAATTGGCCAGTGCCTGGTCAATCAGTGAAGAGACACACAAAAAAAGAAACACTGTACAAGAAAAGAGACATTACTAAGGTACAGATTTTTTGAAAACTCTATATAAAATAGATGTTTCTGAAAAACTGAATTATCAAAACTGACTTGAGAAAGGGGAGAATATCTGAATAGATCAATATTTGTTGAAGAAATTGAAAAGATGGTCAAATGTTTTCCTCAAAAATAGATGTCTACCCAGGTGATTTCATGAGTCAGCTCTAACAAACTTTTAAGGAGGCATCAATTCCCATGTAATGCACAGGATTCCAGAGCATGGGAAAAGAGACATTTCATAACTTATTCTAGGAGGCCGACATAACTATGACATCAAACTAGACAGTGCTGCTTTCACACAAAATATGACTATGGGTCAGTCCCACTGACAGGCACAGATAAAAGATCTGAATAAAATACTAGAAAATCAAAACCAGCAGCAGTGCATTAAAAATAATAACACAGTTCGAATTATACACTTAAAAATTGTTAATATGGTAGGGGGCGCCTAGGTGGCTCAGTCAGTTAACCGTCCAACTCTTGATTTCGGCTCAGGTCATGATCTTGCAGTTCATGAGATTGAACCCTGCATCTGGCTCTGTGCTTACAGCGTGGAACCTGCTTGAGACTCTGTCTCTCTCCCTCTCTCTCTGCCCCTCCCTCACTCACATTCTCTCTCTCAAAATCAATAAATAAACTTAAAAAAATTGTTACTGTGGTAAGTTGTATATATATTTTACCACAATAAAGGACATTAACATTACAAGTATTGGGAGTTATTTTCCACTCCCAACTGAGCTCTTATTCTGCCATTTTAGAACAGAGGCCCTGACAGTTTTTGTTCTGGACTATCTTTCAAGAATGTTTGTCTAGCTTTGGAGGACATAGATAGTGTCACTCTAGCCCAGGGGGACAGATTTGTTTGCTGTCCAATATAAAAAGATAATGTCTCCCCCTCCTCCCTTTCCCTGGGGAAAGGTTGGGCAGATTTGCTTGAAGCTGCTTATAAAAGATGGAAGTTTCTTAATTTCTGGTTTCTCAGCTGTGATATAAACCCACTCTATGTGCAGCATCCATCTACACCTACTTGTGTGATCCCCGTGGGATTTGGAGACATGAGGAATTGGTGTAAAACACATGTTGCCCACTGTGTGTGCAGTAATAAAGAGCTTTGTCTCTGATCCAGAAGTCTCGTATCTTCTGCTGGCACTTAAGAACCTGTGACAGGCTAACCTGCCAGGTTGGAATAGGTGAAAAATCTCAGACCACTCACAGTTCTTCATAGTTTGGGCAACAAGGATAGGCTGCTGACAGATGTGGAAGAGAAAGGATGAGGTTAGGGGATATAGGAAGATTACACAGAAACTGGTGGTGAATGTTCTCACCCAATAGTCTGCAACACTCCTACAGTATTTTATTCAGTCCTGCTCATGAATATTTAGAATCTGAGCAATGAGAGGTGGGTTTGAGACAAATTGTCTGAATGGTGTTCTCTTCAGGTAGGATAGGAGATGCAAGCCTGTGGGGGCCCCAGATAAAAGGCAGTATGACTATGGCTGCTAGATCAAGAGATCTCCAAAGCTGAAATAAACGATGTCAGCAGGAAGGGTACAGAATTTTGGTTTTGTTGAGCCTGGGCCACCATCAGCCACTTGAAAGTAAAAATCAGCACAAAGCTTTGCTTTCTGAGGAGAGCTATTCTTCTCTCCTTCCTTCTCTTTCCTGACCTCAGGAATGTCCTGCTACTTTAAGGGAGCAAATGATTGGGTCAAGATCTCCCTGTTCCCATGGAAGACTAAAGGCCATACACACTCTGTACAAATATACTGAGGAACTTCAGGGAAGGAAGGGACTCAAATTCCTACAGCTCCTTTGGGTATAGACATCCAAGTCACCATCCTACCTGGTCCAAGAATGCTCAGATTTAACTGATGGTATTTGGACAGGGTTCTGAATGGGGACCAGAAGCTAATATGACTTTACTGGTAGGACTTTTGGGACTAATTCAATGCACTGTTGTCGCTTGCATGAATAGTAGGAATTGAGGTGTCATATGTTTATATTCCCATCTTGTGTCAGAGGGGATTAGCTCCATCCAGGAAGAGCAGAAAGTAGACATGCTTGTGGGACAAACTCACTGCCATTTGTCACTAGATGGTGAGCCAGGAGTTAGCATGCGTGCCTCTACTTCTGATTTCAAAGTTTTTACCCTGAAGATGATATCCTGTTGGTTGGCAAGTCAGAAGTTTCCATTTCAAGGCCCCAGACACTCACACTTAGCACTGGCAGGGCTGGCTGATAACTCTCAACAAAATTCAGAGGCCTGCTTGCCAACTAAAGTTTCTTGGGACTGTATGGGCAGATTCACAATGTTCAATTCTTCTGGCTGTATCTCCAGCCACGCCCCAACAAAAAGGAGGTTGAGCATCTTGTGGGACTTTTGGGGAACAGGAGATAGTGTGTGCCTCTACTGGGCATTCTATTTGGTCCTTTACATCAGCTAATTCACAAATCAGCATTCTTTGAGCGGGGCCCAAACCAATAGCAATGAATGCTTTCTTTGTCCCCTACAAAGAACCTACATTGCAGCCTGGCAAAAAAATCATATGGCCTGCCTGAATCAAGAAACTGCAGTGGCTGGCAATCTAACCTGCTTCTATATCTGTCATCCCTGTCCATGTGCTATGAGAACATAAACATTCATGTGGGCATGGCTGCTCTTGAGCCATTTTGTCATGCCTAATTGCCATCAGTGGCCACTCCCAAACATGGACTCTGCCTTGTATATGTACAAACGCACAGATAGGCACAATCTTTTTTTTTTAGTACAATCTTTTAAAAATCTGATTGCGGGGCGCCTGGGTGGCGCAGTCGGTTAAGCGTCCGACTTCAGCCAGGTCACGATCTCGCGGTCCGTGAGTTCGAGTCCCGCGTCAGGCTCTGGGCTGATGGCTCGGAGCCTGGAGCCTGTTTCCGATTCTGTGTCTCCCTCTCTCTCTGCCCCTCCCCCGTTCATGCTCTGTCTCTCTCTGTCCCAAAAATAAATAAACGTTGAAAAAAAAAATTTAAAAATCTGATTGCTACAAATTCATAGGCTTCTCCTGACTGCTGAGCCACTTATGTATGCCTAGCAAGGCTGCAACTACTCAGTGACATAGCTCATGTTTCTTAAACAAACCAGTGTAATGATGATCTAAATCAAGTTTCAAAAGAACCCCTAAACTAGAGTGACTAAGTGACTCTTTGGGTTGTCTGTAGGGGGGAGAGATGGCCACAGCCTATCTCTCTATTGTGGATGAGGGTTGCTTTTTGGCTCATCTATTGCCCCATTAACAATATTACCAGAGATTAGCAGATCAGTCTACATTGCAGGACTCATAATGAATAACAGATTGACTTTAGACTACATCCTGGATGTCTAAAATAACACCCACTGATGCCCATATTTACTCAGAATCAGCTGTGTGTATAATCCTGGGAAGCATGATTGAGGTCAGTACTGCTGGTCAGCATCTTCCTGCTGCCTAGAATCTTATTGATATTAGCCTTAACTAATACTTTATGAGACAAATTGAACAGTTCTGGTCCCAGCCTCTTTTGGTCAGATTAAGCAGTGTGGCCATGGAGTGGCACGCTTATGTAAGAACTTAAGGTTGGCCAAGAAGATATTGGGTCAAGGTGTAGATTATTTTTGGGAGAGACTGCCATGGACTCTGAATATCCCTGTATATTCTTGTGGTGGGTATGCCAAGAATGCAAGGCCCTAACTGATCTTTACCCAAGACATTTTTCAGTATTGTGTTTGCAGTGAGCATTGTGTTTGCAGTGAGCAACATGGAGGGGTGTGGCAATGTCTCCTTCTGGGACAAAGAGCAGGATTACTTACTGCTTGTTATCAAGGAAATGGATTCCCTAAACTTAGTGTTCCTAGGCTGTGACATGAACCTCTGCATGTTGGTATTCATCTGGGCCCCGCCACACTTTCCCCTTGGTGTTTGGGGGGCTGAGGGGAACCAGATCAGACATGATGCTAATGCTGCTTGCTGTGCTGTGAGTAATAAAGGCCTCAGTCTCTGACCCAGGAGTCTCCTATTTTCTACCAGCATCTAGTAAACTGGGATATGTTAGCTTATTAGCTAATAATTAAGGAAAAATATGATCCCACACACTTATATTTGACTATCTTTGAATTTCTTTAACACATATTGTTCTAGTTGAGCTCTATGTTATTTCTTGTACCAAATTTCAGCTTTTTTTATTTTCATGAACTAATTTCATACATTATATTAGCATACAACCATTCTTCATTCTTTTGTTTTCTTGGACCTGATGTATTTGTAATTATTTTTCCCTTTTGTTTTGATTTTTGTATATTTTTCTTGGTAAGTTTTATTTCAAATAAAGTTTATTAATCAGTCCTTTTATAGATCCAACTCTTGGCTTGTTAATCTCAACTTTTGCAGTTGACATTACTGTTCTCTAACTCATTGTTTTCTATCCATCCTTATTTAGCTGTTATTTTGAGAAGGCGCAGAGAGCAAGGGTTGCTATTACTTTTTACCAATCTCTTATTTCTTGATTAACATATTTAAAGTTATAGTTTCCCTCTACTCCTACTTCAGCTGTGTCCCACAGTTTTGACTCTAGTGGTTTATTTATCAGTCTAAATTATTTCATCTTTTGATTTTCATCTTTATTAAAGGATAATTTAGAAGGATAATTTTTAGTTTCCAAATACAATGAAGTTTTTCCTATCCTTTTATTATTTTCTATTATTTCTTTTTTAATTTAATTTTTAAAAACTTAAATCCAAATTAGTTAACATATAGTGTAATAATGATTCCAGGAATAAAACTTAGTGACTTATACACCCAGTGCTCATCCCAACAAGTGCCCATTGCTCAACCAGCTTATCCCCATACCCAACACCCCAGCAGCAACCCCCAGGTTGTTCTCTGTATTTAAGAGTTTCTTATGGTTTGTCACCCTCTCTGTTTTTATCTTATTTTTTCTTCCCTTCCCCTATGTTCATCTATTTTGTTTCTTAAATTCCACATATGAGTGAAATCATATACTTGTCTTTCTCAGACTGACTTATTTCACTTAGTGTAATACCCTCAAGTTCCATCCATGTTGTTGCAAATGGCAAGATTTCATTCTTTTTGATCACCAAATAATATTCCACTGATATATATATACCACATCTTCTTTATCCATTCATCAGTTAATGGACATTTGGGCTCTTTCCACACTTCGGCTATTGTTGATAGCGCTGCTATAAGCATTGGAGTGCACATGCCCCTTCAAAACAGCATTCCTGTATCCTTTGAATACCTAGTAGTGCAATTTCTGGGTAGTAGGGTAGTTCTATTTTTAATTTTCTTGAGGAAACTCCATACTGTTTTTCAGAGTGGCTGCACCAGTTTGCATTCCCACTAGCAGTGCAAAAAAGTTCCTCTTACTCTGCATCCTTGCCAACATCTGTTGTTGCCTGAGTTGTTAATGTTAGCCATTCTGACAGGTGTGAGGTGGTATCTCATTGTGGTTTTAATTTGTATTTCCCTGATGATGAGTGATGTTGAGCATCTTTTCATGTGCCTGTTACCCATCTGGATGTCTTCTTTGGAAAAAAGTGTCTATTCATGTCTTTTGCCCATTTCTTCACTGGATTATTTGTCTTTTGGGTGTTGAGTTTGATAAGTTCTTTATAGATTTTGGATTGGTCTATAGTTCTCTTTTTTAGTGGGGTCTTTGTTGTGTTTTGGAATTAAGGTAATGTTGGCCTCATAGAATGAATTTGGAAGTTTTCCTTCCATTCCTATTTTTTTGGAAACAGCTTCAAAAGAATAGGTGTTAGCTCTTCTTTAAATGTTTGGTAGAATTCCCCTGGAAAGCCATCCACCCTAGACTCTTGTTTGTTGGGAGATTCTTGATTACTGATTCAATTTCTTTGCTGGTTATGGGTCTATTCAAATTGTCTATTTCTTCCCATTTCAGTTCTGGTAGTTTATATGTTTCTAGGAATTTGTCCATTTCTTCCAGATTGCCCAATGTGTTGGCATATAATTGCTCATAATATTCTCTTATTTGTTTGTATTTCTGTGGTGGTGATTGTGATCTCTCCTCTTTCATTTGTGGTTTTATTTATTGGGTCCTTTCCTTTTTCTTTTTGATCAAACTGGCTAGGGGTTTATCAATTTTGTTAATTATTTCAAAGCTCCTGGCTTCATTGATCTGTTCTACTGTTGTTGTTGTTTTCTTTTTCTTTTTTTTTTTTTTTTAATTTTTTTTTTTCAACGTTTATCTATTTTTGGGACAGAGAGAGACAGAGCATGAATGGGGGAGGGGCAGAGAGAGAGGAAGACACAGAATCGGAAACAGGCTCCAGGCTCTGAGCCATCAGCCCAGAGCCCGACGCGGGGCTCGAACTCACGGACCGTGAGATTGTGACCTGGCTGAAGTTGGACGCTTAACCGACTGCGCCACCCAGGCGCCCCTATTGTTGTTGTTTTCAATATCATTGATTTCTGCTCTAATCTTTATAATTTCCCTTCTTCTGCTGGTTTTGGGCTTTATTTTCTATGCTTTTTCCAGCTCTTTTAGGTGTAAGGTTAGGTTGTGTATTTGAGACCTTTCTTCCTTCTTTAGGAAGGCCTGGAAGGCTGTATACTTCCCTCTTATGACCGCCTTTGCTGCATCCCAGAGATTTTGGATTGCCGTGTTTTCATTTTCTTTGGCTTCCATGTACTATTTACTGTTCTCTTTAACTTCTTGGTTAGCCCATTCGTTTTTTAGTAGGATGTTCTTTAATCTCCAAGTACTCATGGTCTTTCCAAATTTTTTCTTGTGGTTGATTTTGAGTTTCATAGCACTGTGTATGAAAATATACAGGGTATGATTTTGATCTTTTTGTACTTGTGGAGGTATGATTTGTGACCCAGTATGTGATCTATTCTGGAGAATATTTCATGTGCACTCAAGAAGAATGTGTATTCTTCTCTTTAGGATGAAATATTCTGAATATATCTGTTAAGTCCATCCAGTTCAGTGTATCATTCAAAGCCATTGTTTCCTTCTTGATTTTCTTTTTGCATGATCTATCCATTGTTGTAAGTGGGATATTGAAATCCCCTACTATTATGATATTATTATCAATGAGTTTCTCTATGTTTGTGATTAATTGGCTTATATATTTGGGTGTTTCACGTTGGAGGCATAAATATTTACAATTGTTAGATCTTCTTGGTGGATACACCCCTTAATTATGATATAACGCCCTTCTTCATCTGTTACAGTATTTTAAAATCTAGTTTGTCTGATATAAGTATGTCTACTGCAGCTTTCTTTTGACGACTATTAGCATGATATATGGTTTTCCATCCCCTTACTTTCAATCTGCAGGTGTCTTTAGGTCTAATATTAGTCTTTTGTAAGTAGCATATAGATGGGTCTTGTTTTCTTATCCATTGTGATACCCTATGTCTTTTGATTGGAGCATTTAGTCCATTTACATTTAGAGTAAGTACTGAAAGGTACAAATTTAGTGCCATTGTGTTGCTTGTAGAGTTGGTGTTTCTGGTGATTTTCTCTGGTCCTTTCTAGTCTTTGTTGCATTTGGTCTTTTTGTTTTGTTTTATCTTTTCACCACTCAAAAAGTCCCCCTTAAAATTTCTTGCAGGGTTTAGTGGTCATGACTTCCTTTAGATTGTGTTTGTCTGAGAAATTCTTGATCTCTCCTTCTATTTTGAATGACAGCCTTGCTGGATAAAGAATTCACGGCCACATATTTTTCTGATTCAGCACGTTGAATATATCCTTTCACTCCTTTCTCTTTGCCATGTTTCTGTGGATAGGTCTGCTGGGAACCTGATCTGTCTTCCCTTATAGGCCAAGGACTTTTATTCCCTTGCTGCTTTCATAATTCTTTCCTTTCTGAGTGTTTTGAGAATTTGACTATGATACGCATTGGTGATGGTCGATTTTGTTAAATCTAATGGGAGTTCTGTGTGCTTCTTGGATTTTGATGTCTCTATCCTTGACCAGATTAGAAAAGTTTTCTGCTATAATTTGCTCACATAAACCTTCTGCCCCTTTCTCTATCTTCTGGGACTGCTATGATTCGAATGTTACTCCTTTTTAATAAATCACTGAGTTCTTTAAGTCTTGTACTGTGATCTTTTGCCTTTGTTTCCCTCTTTTTTCCTGCTTCATTATTTTCCATAATTTTACCTTCTATATTGCTGATTTGCTTCTCTGCTTCATCCATCCTTGCCATCATGGCATCCATTCGAGATTGCATCTCAGTTATAGCATTTCTTAATTTCAGCCTGACTAGATTTTATTTCTTTTATCTCTGCAGAAAGAGATTCTCTGGTGTATTCTATGCTTTTTTCAACCCCAGCTAGCATTCTTATTATCATGATTCTAAATTCTAGTTCAGACATCTTACTTATGTCTGTGTTGATTAAGTCCCTGGCTGACATTTCTTCCTGTTCTTTCTTTTGGGGTGAATTCCTTCATTTTGTCACTCTGGAGGAAGAAAAAAGTTAATAAAATTAAAAATTAAAATTAAAAAATTAAAAACAGGTGCGCCTGGGTGGCTCAGTCAGTTAAGCAGCTGACTTCGGCTTGGGTCATGATTTCGCCGTCCGTGGATTCGAGCCCTGCGTCGGGCTCTGTGCTGACAGCTTAGAGCCTGGAGCCTGTTTCGGATTCTGTGTCTCCCTCTCTCTGACCCTCCCCAGTTCATGCTCTGTTTCTCTCTGTCTCAAAAATAAATAAACGTTAAAAAATTAAAAAAAAATTAGAAACAAAACAAAATACCAAATAAAGGAAGCTAGGACCTAGGTGTGCTTCATTCTGCTTGTTGAAAGAAGCTTGATAGAACAGAGAAAAAAGGGAAAGGAAAGGGGAAAAAAAGGTAAGAAAAAATTTAAAACTTAAAAAAAATTATATAATAAAATAAAATAAAGAAATTGAAATAAAATAAAAATTTTCTAAAACTAAAAAATAAAGTCAAAACAATTTCTCTTTCTGTATCCAAGAAAGAGAAAGAAAGAAAGAAAAAGAAAATCATTTAAGCAAAAACATAAGCAAAGAAAACCAACAAATAAGTTGAACCAACAAATGGAATGTAACCTGAATGAAGTTATATCCGGTTTCCCCTAACTGAAACTATGAAACACTCTATAGTCCATACACTAAACAGGTGGAGTGACTTGTTCTGGTCTTCTTTGGAATGTGCTTGTAGGGCGCAGTTGGGAAGGATTTGGTGTAAGGCTCCCTTCTCCACTAGGTGGAACTGCTTAACTTACTGGGGTGGATCAGTGTGCATGTGTGCATGTACAGGAGAGGTGGAAATGGCTTCATCCAGTTCCCTAGTCTCTAGCATAGGAAGTTTGTCTCTCCCTGACCATTGATCAAGCACCCCTCCTTTGTCTCAGGCCTCCATCCACTCCCTGCCTCTACCCTGTCTGTGTCCAAGCCATCAGCCTACCAGACGGTACCTCCCTCCAGAGTTTTATCTCAGATGACGTTTTGTTCCAAAACCCTACACTTCAGAAACCCCTGTGGCCTGGACCCACACCGACTTTCTGGGGGAGGGTCTCGCTGAGCAATCGCTGGGTGCCAGCTTGCCCCAGAAAATGTTTGTGGAATCATGCAGTAGTAGAGGTTCAGAGATTATGGCAAATCACAACACACAGCCGTTGCTAGGTTTCACCACATTCTGACATCTTTGTCCCAATACCAGCAAACATGGCTGCTCTCCTGGGTCTGCTGGGACCTTTGCCTGTGGGGAGGCTGTATGGCCTCTACCAGATGCACTCCAAGTAGGGAAACTGCTTCTCTCCATGTGGCACAGAAATCCCTCAGACCCTGCTGCTTGTTCCTGAGGATTTGCCCTACTCCCCACCAGAGCACTGCCAGGCACTAAACTCTGAAACTTCAGACTCTGCACTCCATTGTTTATAGAATCCTGATGGTATTGAAACCCTTTCCTTTTTCCCCATCAATGGTTTTGG